CCCCAAAACCCCAAAACCCCAAAACCCCAAAACCCCTCAAATTTTAGTAAATATTAATTTTAGAATGGACTTGCTCGATCAGATAGCATCAATTCCACCAAACTTGTTTAGTCTAACTCTCAAAGAAGAGCTTGTATTTTTCCAGACTCTAGCGGACTCTCAGCAGTGAGAGATTCATCCTGAGACCTTGAAACTTATAATTATTCAAGATAAAAATGTTTGACTACAGGAAACTTTGGCTCAGATGTATAATTGCCATCTCAAAAAGCTGAAAAACGTTTACTTTCCCCTCTGGACTAAGCTTAGCACAAGGTTCAAGAAAGTTCTAGTACTCCAACATAGACTCTTCAAGCAGAAAGATATTGAAAGCTGGAAATTTGCTGAAACAAAGGTAATATTTACTTTTTAGTAAGATTCTAGATCAAAATTTATGAACTGATTGAATGGCTTCTCGAACTCTCAGAGAGTCACTTACTTTTCAAAACCTATGTACAAGATTTTAGTCAGCATGATCTAGAAATAGACCTCTATTGAGAGAAAAGCCTTGCCCAAAATGCAGGTAGAAATAGCGATAACCCATAGATGTGAAGAAAATAGTCGACCATTTCCTAAATGATATGAAGAAATCTAACTCGATTGTAAGCTCTCACAAAAATATGGACCAAGCTACTTAAATTTAATTTAGATATGGGTGAAGAATTGTCAGAAGTTAATCGAGAACACCACGTATAATTTCCCTCTTTACACTAAATAAAGAAGTGTTTTCAACTCTACTCGACCTCTGGGCAAGAAATCATCCTTTATTCAGAAAAAGCACTTTCGATTTGCCGCGATATAAAATTATTGAAGCATTTGAGTGATATGACCCTTCTGAAAGCAATAGGGATTATGAAAAAGATCAACCTGTGTACAATATGAGATATCTTGAATCTCTCATTATCCAAGCACAATATGATTTATTACTAAGTGCTTCAAAATAGCTTCACCACAGTATGTTATCGGTTTAACTCATAATATATAGAAATTTTGGGAGAACCCTAACAAAGCTAAAACAAAATCAGTCCCAATAAAATCAGAACTTAGTGTACCTGTCTCCTTTTGCAGTGAGACAAACTCTCCAGTTTTCAACAGAAAGAGCACTGATATAGACAGCAATGTTTTTGATTTGCAAGAATAATGGAATAAGCTTAGTGAATAAATTATTATTCAACAATTTTACAGTGATTTGGGGTTTTGGGGTTTTGGGGTTTTGGGGTTTTGGGG